TTACTACAAAAAGAAATTAAAAAATCAAAAAAAAATCATCCTATATCCTCTAAAAGAAACACCAAATCCAAATATTACCTTAAAATCTGAAAAGAAAATTAGATCCTAAAAAAAAAAAATTAAAATTAAAAAGTTAAAAAAACCTCTTTCAAACCCAAATATTTATTATCTTAGAAACTGAGAGAAAGTTTGATTCTATAAAAAAAAAAAATTAAAATTAAAAAAATTAAAAAAAATTATTCTAACCACCCTCTAAAACATAAACTCAAATATTATCTTAGGATCCAAAGAGAAAGTTTGATCCTAAAAAAATAAAAAAGAAATTTTATAATAAAAATCCAAACCTAAATGATCCAAGAGAAAGATTGATTCTAAAAAAAAAAAAAAAAATTAATTAAAAAACTCCTTCTCACTAAAATCAAAAATACCTTAGAATTTAAAGAAAAAAAGAAACCCAAAGAATAACTACAAGAAAGAAAAAGAAAAAAAATAAATATTAAAAAATAAAGAAATGAAAAAATCCACTTACTCACCATCGACGACAACTTACCTTCAGAATTTTCCATGGGAACCCATGAAAAAATAACGATTCTCTAAGAGAATTCATTATTTTGGTAGACCAGACCCACTATGGGAACCCGTCAATAATAACGATTCTCTAAGAGAATTCGTTATTTTGGTGAACTCTCTATAGGAACCTGCCAAATATGACAATTCTCTAAGAGAAAATCATTATTTTGGCGAATTCTCTATAGGAACTCACCAAATTTGACGATTCTTTAAGATAAATTATTATTTTGGCAAACCCGCTATGGGAACTGGTTAAAAGTAACAATTCTCTAAAAGAAAATTGTTATTTTGGCGAATACTGTATGGGAATCTGCCAAATTTGATGATTCTTTGAGAATTCGTTATTTTGGTAGACCCGCTATGGGAACCTGTCAAAAATAACAATTCTCTAAGAGAATTCATTATTTTAGTGAACTATGGGAACCCGCCAAATATGATGATTCTCTAAGAAAAATCATTATTTTGGCGAATCCTCTATGGGAAATCGCCAAATTTGACGATTCTTTAAGAGAAATCGTTATTTTGGTGGACTCACTATGAGAACTGGTTAAAAGTAACGATTCTCTAAGAGAAAATTGTTATTTTGGCGAATACTATATGGGAACCCACCAAATTTGATGATTCTTTAAGAGAAATTATTATTTTAGCGGAACCACTATAGGAACACGTCAAAAATAACAATTCTCTAAGAGAATTCATTATTTTGGCAGACTTACTATGGAAACCCATCAAAAATAATGATTCTCTATGGGAATCCGAGATTCTCTAAGAGAAATTGAGAATCATTAATTTTTAATTTAATTATAAATTAAGATTTTTTTTTTGTTTTTTTTTTTAATACAATTTTTTAAAAATTAAATAAAAATCATGACAACTTC